TTGTAAAAAAAAACTGTAAAAATATTGACTAGCGTACCGTCGTGCGAGCTTGCTCTCACAGAACGAAAGCGGTAGGTTGCACCTGACCAGTAATTCTAACCACCCGAATGTGATTTTAGCGGTCTGGCTCACGTAGTGAACGACAGACCCAGTCAGGCCAGGCTTAGCCGCTAGCATCTCCTCAGCAAAGGAGGAATGCTTCCGTCTTATATGCTGCATGAGGTTTGTGAAACCAGTTCCAGCGACTCGCTTCCGGACCGTGCCGCATCTGCAGCGTTAATACTCGAGGAGTACCTCGTCGTACTGGTCACGGCACGGCCGGAAGTAAAAGTTGGCGACTTGACCATTGGTGAAGGTGGCTGGGGCGGCAGGGCGGGGAGCGGCGAACATCTTGGGGGCTGGCGGTGGTGTTAAGCTTATTGTGTTTTTGGAAGTGAGGAAATTATGTTTGCTGGCGTCGATGTGGGGCTACATTTTGTGGTGACTGCTGTCCTTGCTTAACCAGGAGATGGTTGGTGGTAGTTTGGTCCAATAGATTATTGAAGTGATTTGGTTGGCTCAATAGATAGCTGCTACCTATCGGTTAAATGCCAAAAATAGATTATTGCTACACATCTATTGCAATAATTGCAGCATCAATTTATTTTTCGGCATGCAGATTGTGATTAAGGCTGAATATGTCAAGTATTCGCAGACCCGCTTCAACATCAACTGCCCGAAACAAAAAAATGAGCGCTAACTTGAAGTCCGCCTTTTTAGGCGTGTTCTCCTTTGAGTGTAGGCAACCTGGTCGAGGTTGTTATTCAAACCCACTGCTCAATTCTTCTATGAACAGGAAATTTCGTATTTGAGCTAGCACCTCCGACTGCTTCTCGTAAATGGACTTCCACATCTTTAAGATCACGAAGACGTCCATCGACAGTGTACGTTACATCTTGTAGCTGCTTTAAACTAATTTTACGCTTCTCCTTTAGCTTATCAAAAAACCGCTGCATAACTTACAAGGGGTCCTGTTTCGTCACCACGTTGTCTTCGAATGTACGGACTGTAGTAGCATTATTGTGATAATGCATGTTGGCTTCTCTCCCAAGCAGTGACACCACCCTTCCCATTAACTAATAGTTCTCGCTTCCAATCTTTTTATCGTCTTAGTTGCCTCACCACTATCTGTCCGACTTCGTTCTGTATTAGAATAAAACATTTTAGCGTCCTTCACACTCTCGTGTTTTCTCTCTTCTCCTTTCCACAAATTCGGTCAATGCGTTCGGATTGGCCGTTTGTCTTTGGATGTTTTGCCCCGAAGGTGAAAGTAAGACGAGATCCCTGTCAGCCACAATTAAATTAGTCCATGGTGCCGGCTAACAGCATCGGAGAGAAGAACAGGAAACTGAGATGCAGTGATTGTCAAAGCAACAAGGACAAGATGCACTATCTGGATGAGGCGACGAGGATACCAGTGCGATCTTAAGCATCTCGGGGGAGTCCGAGCACAAAATCCGAGTTGCAACCGGCAGGGAAATCGAGGCGGCGTCTACTTTGACGTAGATAATTTCACGCACCGGAAAGCTTCGCATGGGCGCCCCCACTTGCGAAAGAGTAGCCAGTAGAAATACCTCGCGATTGTGACGTAGGTCTTTTGCGTCCGAGATCTCCGGAACTCAGACTATCGTATAGCTCGTGAGTAATCGGAGCGCGAAGATCACCGCTCAGCGGGACGACGCGTGGGGTGTCTGTGCGGTCGACGCCGTACGTCAACACGTCGTCATCCATGACATACCGGTCAGCACGAGGACGGCTCCACCGGGACAGCAGACGGCGTACTATTTCTCGGTAATATAACACTTCAGATCACGCTGCATCGTGCTTATACCGTGTCATTGATATCATCGAGCGTACTTGATCTACAAAGGGGTCGTGGTTATAAAGCAAGCTTAAGTATGACTTGTATTGAGATTGCAGATAACAAAAGTGATTACAAGGGCAAGCAGCCAGGGCGCTTTATAATATATATACGAATGATGAATTCAACCTAGCGGTATGTAGCGACAATATCATCTCCAAGTGGTATGGTCGCTGCGATCTCCACCGCATTGAATCCTTCTGCAGGACATACGGCGCGCTCGTCGTCATCCTTGTCGTCGCCAATAAGCTTGCGACCCAATTGCGCGCGGTGTCGTATTCTGAGTAATTCGAGCGCGGTGTCGTATTCTAAGCAATTCGAGCGCGATGGCGAGGATGTTGGTCATGTCTGGCTTGTCGTGCACGACAAAACTGTACATGACAAGTAGCTACAGTTAGCGTAATGTGCGCTGGGGCAGGCATGGGCACTTCGTATTGGTCTTCAACGATGCATGATCTATCGACTTTGCCATCGACAACGCATCGATGCAGATCGACGGGGATAGCGCGAGAATGTGGTGAGCTATCAGTTGCGCAATCCTAGATCGGTGGAGCGACACTAGCTCATCTACGACAAGAGACATATTACTATGCGCTACGCGCGCATTTTTAAACTCCTCGTGTACCTCCTGGAAAGTCAAGCCTTCGCTGCTTACATTGTCGTCGCACACTACGTAAATTAACCTCTAGTGATCAGGCATGGAGCGGTGGGTAAGCTGGACTTTACCGCGCCGGAAGTAGCCTGGTGCTCCGGGCGCCAAAACAACGTGGTGGCTGCCTTGGGTAGCTGCGCCTAAGGATGCACAGTGGACGCGAAGATCTTCGAGTAGCTGTAGAGATACGCTGCGATCCCCAACCATTGTCGAAGTTGTTAATGGTCCTGATACGTGGGCCAGGCACAGATATTTTCGATCTCCTAGGATCAGTACAGACACCGTTCGAGTTGACATAGCTGCAAAGTGCCGAGCTCTCGGATACGCAGTAGATGCTCTTTTTCAGGTTAGCGTACAGCTCGTTTGCCATGTCACTTAGAGAACCTGCCGCAGGTGCTGACGATGAGCATCGATATCGACAATGCCGCCTTTGGCTCAAATGTAGCCGAGGTGACTCAGCGCGAAGCTTCGGAAGCGACGGAAAATATTGAACCCCATCCCGTTGGAGTGTATCAGGGGGCGCTCCTCATCCCCGGGGGCATCACAAACCATCTTCATAGGATACCGCTGAGTGCACAGACAGCAGTCAGCGGCACGTCACCTTTGTTCTTCAAGATCTGATAGAGTCCGTCTATCAAGGATATAGTACTATGCTGGATACTGTCAGACGTAGTGGTCCCCACCATATTCTTGAGCGGTGTTAGTATCTACGCTGAAATCGTGGCGCCGCTGACCTTGTTGAGATCGTGCACGATGCACCGTCCGCCGTGGCATTTTTGTCTACGAAGAACGTTGGTCTAGCGTACGGAGACACACTCTTGAGGGTGTGCTCTACCCCGTGGCAGCTTCCGAAAAAAGCATCGCTAGCTATCGCTTGAACGGGTGGAAGTGGCAATCACCGAGTTTTAAAGCACATGGCACCAGATTTGAGGTCAGTTCCATGCCGATGCGTGTGTGTGGGGGGGGGCATAGTAAGAACCTTCTCACGGGAGCTATTAGTGGGCATACGGACGAGTGAAGCAACACCGTTGCCGTACACCGCAAGCGCTTGGAACGGCAGGACGGTGAGCCAAACTTTCCGAGCTGTCCTCGACTCGGCTAGCTTTTAGCGTGTCCGTGTGACTGACACTGTAGCTACAGCTTCTGACTCAACCGTCGCCGCTGAGTTAGCGGTTTCCATATGATCACACCGACTTGCCCGACGCATTACTAGTCACGGATAAAGTGTTTCCACGAGAGACTGAAAAGCGGCGTGGTTGGAGCGGCACCGTTTGATAAATGTAGAAGCTCAACTTCGCGCTCGCAATCGGCGATGTCGCTGCTATCATCTACTAGGACTGGGATAACTTCAGTCTCAGACGATGATGAGCACTCGGACGGTGTGCGAGGTCGGCGTGGCTTGCCTCGGCGTAGGGAAATGAACGCGGATCGACCACTACATCAGACGATGAGATAAAGTTCTTGTTCATGTCTGCCAATTCGCGGCAACGACTGGCTGAACCGTCGTACGGATGAGAGATACTCGGCTTAGCCGCATCGGCGTCTTCCAGGAGCCCCCGACTTAGTCACAAGCGGTATTCCACTTGTGCGTGGCCGCGTTCTACCACGTCATTGCTTGAGAGCCACTGATCATCGGGGAGTGGGAACCTATGCTCGACCAGACCAAGATGTCTTGAAAAAAATTCCTACTCAGATCCGGCACAGGTTGCATATCCCCGACTGCACACGATGGACCATCACTCGCTCCGAAAACACCAGTGTTCATTGAGTCAGGGTCCAGGACTGTCGTTGGTTAAGAGATCAGCTCAGAAGCGCCACACATCAACTGCATAGGTGTCAAACGGACGGACAGTACCGGACACCCGGCCGAAATAAGACTGATGACGAGCGCTTTACGAAAAACCGAAGCGTTGGTATCCAGAGTCATTGCCGAGATGAAGACAAGGATCTATGTCGCCATGTCAACTGAGTGTGTCGCAATGGACGATAAGAGGTGGCGGATGCGCCGGATGAATCTGAACATGGACATGCTTCCCTGCTCTAGGCCGAATGTGGTATCTGCTCCTCATGGATCGGCTCAGATGCGAGACGGACACCCGGATTCATTGCCACCATGGTCGGGAATCAGGAAGCGTTGTCAACGCGTTTGCCAATTCGCTTTTCTTGTCAGTTTGTAAAACAACATACGCTGTCCAGCTCCTGCTTAGGTGAGCGATTTCATAGTGCAAACACCGAAATGTGTAAAATAAATACTTGTGACTGGTGGCCCGCCTCCGCTTGATATGGATACGCGGCTTTGCGCACAACGTGGAGTTGTTGGAGCATGAAGCACGCACTATGCACCTTACACTAAGATTCAGTTGAGACGAGGCGTTGTCAGTGGACTTGTCGGCAGAAGAATCCATGACGACTCGATTCTTACAATGCTGTTCGCTGCAGCAAAATGAAATGCTACTGGACACCGGTATGCACGGCGCAGCCTTACAGGGACTCGAGGACGGCTTGGTGAGCTCGAGGTAAGTTCGAGAGTAAGCTGTCAAGCCCAGTGCGCTCTGTTTGAGTGCCTTCGTCACTTCTCTCAGCCCGTGCGAGTATTGCTAGGTCGTTATCTAACTGTGCTACAGCTATGCTAACGGACGAACAGCGACATCGTCTCGGCAACGGCAGCGTCCGTTGCAGAACCAACTCACACAGCAACGGTAGCATGCTTTCACTGCAGCACTGCTGCAGGATGAGATGACGTGGCGGCTTGTCCAGGCTTCACCGGCAGCGGTACTGGCAGCAGGACGCGGTGTCCCATCCGGGCTCCGCTGGCCACGTCACCGGCATGGGGCACACAGGAGCCTGCAGTGACGACGGCGCAGGACTCTATGCCTTGGTTGTATCCAGGCGAGAGCACGGTGCAGCGCACCTTCTTCTTCTCGTACGCAGTACGGTACGACGACGGCGCGTCGGATCTCGGGCCTTAAGCGCCAGCAGGCAGGACGCAGGAGCGATGTGGAGCGTAGCTCGCTTCTTGCTCCAAATACGGTACGGTCACCGAGAGCATAGTGCTGCGCACTTGCAGCTCACGTACGGCAGTACATCACATCAGTGGTCCTAAGATGCTGTTGCCCAATTGGTACACATTGCACCGAGGCACTGTGCCACCAGCAGTCTTCGACCCGACATCTCTTCACGATAGTCAACTCCTAGTGTGCTTGTTTGATGCTAGCATTGTGTGGCGTACCTATACCACACATCTAAAAATTGGCCCACTCACCCACAATTATGCGAAATGTGTCGTAAATCACAAATGCTACATAGTGAATACAAGCTATTCACCCACCGCGTCATCCAACGTTTTCGGAAAAATCCGCTGAAGCTCATTTGGCAACAAGCCTTGAAGGAGAGAGAATCTTTCATTACAAGCAACAACAACATGGCGGACAGCGCGTTCAGTGAGGCGGGCAAGAAGGCTGGGCTTGAGGCCTGGCGCATTGAGGATCTAAAGCCTGTGGCCGTGCCAGCCGCCGAGCAGCACAAGCTGTACAGCGGCGACAGCTATATCTTCCTCAAGACGAGCGAGGCGACAACGTACGAACGCACGACCTTTGTCATTAACCCCCCGCCGGATTTTAACCTATCTCTCTGTATTCCTCTCTTTCTACTATGCTAGTGGCTTGACGTGGGACATCCACTTCTGGCTGGGCAAAGAAACGTCCACCGACGAAAGTGGCGTTGCCGCGTACAAGACCGTGGAGCTAGACGACGCACTGGGCGGCGTACCGGTGCAGCACCGCGAGTGCCAGGGCCACGAATCGGTGCGTTTCTATTAGGCGTTGATATTTCCTTGTGGCGTTTGCAACTGAACTATATCTTTGTGTACCTGTATGCAGCCGTTGTTCCTGTCGTACTTTAAGTCCACAGGTCTGCAATACCTCGAGGGAGGTGTGGCCAGTGGCTTCAACGAGGTCAAGCGCGACGAGTACGTGACGCGTCTGTACCGTATCAAGGGTAAGCACACGGTTCGCGTCGAGCAGGTGCCGCTGAAGAGCTCGTCGTTGAGCGTGGACGACGCCTACGTACTCGACGCCGGTCTTGAGCTCTATCTGTACGCCGGCAAGGACGCTAACCGTCTGGAGAAGTCCAAGGCTCTTGAGTTCATCACCAAGACCAGAGAAGCTCGTGGTGGTCGTGCTGACGTCACGTTCATCGACGAAGACCCGGAGAACGTTGCGTTCTGGGCAGCTCTGGGCGGTTTTGAGACTGTGACGCGCTCGGGCGAGACGGACGAGCATCACGAGAATGCAGCCAAGAAGAACACAACGGTACTTCGTGTAAGCGGCGCCACTGACGACAATCTGCAGGTTGCTGACGTCACTCCGTCATCGGGAGTACTCACTAAAGACATCTTGAAGACCGAAGACGTTTTTATCGTTGACGTGGGCAACGAGGTGTTTGTATGGGTGGGCAAGACCGCGTCTGAGAGCGAACGCAAGAACGCGTTGACTGTTGCTGTGCACTACTTGAAGAAGGAAGGTCGGCCGTCTCATACGCCTATTACTCGTGTGGTTGAAGAGGGAGAGACTCCGTTGTTCACTGCCGTGTTCAAGGCATGGACGGAGCCTAAGGTGCTTAAGTTTGGCTATCAACCGAGCAAGGGAGTTGCCAAGATGCAGGATGATAAGCCGGTTGACGTTAAGGCGTTGGTGAAGGCTGCGTCGCAGGATGAGGAGGATATTGGCGTGGATCCGAACGGAGATGGCAACCACCAAGTCACGGTGTGGCGTATCGAGGACCTTGACAAGGTGGAAGTGCCTAAAGAGCAGTATGGACAGTTCTATGATGGCGATAGCTACATTATCCTGCATGTGGTGACACCCTCGAGTGGCAAGCCTAGTCAGGTGATTTACTTCTGGCAGGGACGCTCGTCCACGACGGATGAGAAGGCTGCGTCGGCTCTGTTGGCCACGTTCTTGGACGACAGCATGCACGGTACTCCTGTTCAGGTCCGTGTGACGCAGGGCAAGGAGCCGGCACATTTCCGCGCGTTGTTTAATGGAACGATGATCGTGCACGCCGGCGGCAAGGCCAGTGCATTCACCAACCGTGACGATGAAGATTCGCACGACACAGATGGAGTTTCACTGTACCAGGTGAAGGGGACCAACGAGAAGAACACACTGGCCGTTCAGGTGGACGAGGAGACCTCGAGCCTTACTTCTGGCGACTGCTTTGTGTTGGTGACACCTAGTAAGGTATACGAGTGGCAGGGTAGCGGCAGTAGCTCTGTCGAGCGCGAGATCGCGTCCAGAATTGCCGCAATCCTCAAGAAAAACCGCGATGCCGACGTTGTAGAGGAAGGCAGTGAGTCTGACGAGTTCTGGGAGTTCCTGGGTGGCAAGGGCGAGTACGCTAAGACCAAGTCGTCGTTCGAAGCCCCGCACGAGCCTCGGTTGTTCCAGTGCTCGAACAAGTATGGATACTTCGACGCGCATGAGATCGTCAACTTCGGTCAGGACGATCTCAACACGGACGATGTGTTCATCTTGGACACGTACACGACTCTGTACGTGTGGATTGGAGCTGGTGCTAACGAGCCCGAGAGACGCGAGGCCATGGCTCTCGCTAACAAGTACTTGGCTGTGGTCAAGAGTGATGGTCGTGGCGAGGGCACGCCGATTGTGGCCGTGCACTGCAACAACGAGCCACTTATGTTTACAAGCAACTTCTTGGCTTGGGACGACGAATTTTTCACCAAGAACGAGTTCCTGGACCCGTACAAGGCTCGTTTGCACAAGTTGAAGGAGGAGAAGGAGAAGAACGCCCCTAAGGACCTCCCTGGTACGATCACGAACGAAGATATCCGTGAAAAGGAGACTCCGCAGTCTCCGAAGGCTCCGGCATCGCTTAACGTGGCGGCAAAGGCAGTCCCTGTTCTACCGACGGAGGTTCCTGTCCCGAAGGCCACCCCATCGTCGCCCAAGGTGACGCCGGTGTCACCGAAGGCTGCCGCTCCTCCCGCCCCCGCTTCTGCGAAGGCCACGGGTACCGCAGGCGAGACTTTCACATACGATGAACTGAGGGCTGGCGTTGAGGGGATCGACATTGCTAGAAAGGAGGTAAGCGTACTTCTTTGAGGCTGTTTTTTTTTATCTCATAGTTCTCAGCGCTGACACAAATGATTGTTGACTCTACAGGACTACCTCACGGACGCCGAATTCCACACGGTTATGGAAATGAGCAAGGACGAGTTTGAGAAACTCCCCAAGTGGAAGCAGCAGGCGAAGAAGAAGGAAGTCGACCTCTTCTAAGCTGCAAGACTGTGACTGGGGAGCCTTAATTTTCTCTCGGTCGTGTCGTACATGCTGTGATGTGAAAAAGTTTTCATAGCTTACGTGAAATATAGTAACGAAATACAACATGCAACATTGCAACTGTACATTCGGACTGTTGTTGCTTGGTGCTTAAATGCAACATGGCAACACGACCTTCACTCTGTTGTTGCCGTTTTTGCTTCAAGCTCGACACGACGAACTTTGCCGGATATTCGAACTGCATTGTTACCGAAATTTTTTTTGATACTGAATTCAAATGACGCACTTCGTATCAGACCCAAGATGGCGACAGTGACGCTTGGTACCAAGCTCGCGCCGTTCACGCCGAGCGGTGACGGAGTGCTGGACCATGCGCTCGATCTACTGGCACTCTCGACTGACGACGTGCTGTTCGATCTGGGCTGTGGTGACGCACGGATACTGGTGCACGCTGCAGAGAAGACTGGCGCTAGGTAACGAGGATTGTTAGATGGGAGAATGCGTTGGTGAAATATTTCAACTAAAAGTGACAGGTGTGTTGCGTATGACTGGTGTGTTGCAGGTGCATCGGAGTGGAATACGATGAGGACCTGGTGAAGCGAGCACGGACGCGCGTCAAGGTAGTGACACGCTCGTGTCTCTTGGGTCAGTGTCGAGAACGCAATTTGTACTGATGGATCTCTGCGTTGCAATTAATGCAGGAGCATGGAATGGAGATGTTGGTGGAAATTCAGCATGAAGATGCATTGGCTGTGGATCTCACGCTGGCAACAGCGTTATTCCTGTATCTTGTTCCGCAAGTGAGTGGATCCTATCATGTTGAAGTGGATGCTCAAGGGCTAACGAGTTGCTTGCAGGGGATTAAAATGCTCCTGCCGAAGTATGTCATATTAGCCTATGCGATTGCGTTCTGACGGGTCGTCTAATGTGCTGACGCGGTGTTTCCCAGGCTAGAAGAAGCTCGAAGACTGCATGTGCGCATTGTGACGTACGTGTTTTCAATCCCAGGCTGGAAACCGGACGACCAGCGCACCTACAAGGGCACCAAAGTATGCTTCGCTTGACAAGAGATGAATCTCTTGCTGGAGCTCACGTTTCATCTTTTCCTGTCAGATTTATCTGTACAATTCACCTGCAACCGCCCTCCAACAGTGATTCATTCTGTATCTACACCACAAACACTCCAAGTTATCCTACAACCAAGATCTATCAGACAGTTTCCAAGCCATAGTGTACACCATCGACCGATTCCTTCATTTTGTTTCTGTGTTTTGTGTCTGCCTGTTGCTCAAAAGTATTATCATCTTTTTTTCTGCATCCCTCTTACAGCAACTAGGTTGCAGCTGTAGCTTAGAACTGACGCGTCTTCATCTCCTCCTGGATGGCAATAGCCGACGAGTACGAGTTGGCAGCGTACGTGGCGAAGTTCTGATCCTTGGAGTGCGTGGTCACAATGTACTGACGTGGCACCTCCGGGAATCCCTCAGGACTCGTGTACTGGTGGTGACGGTGGAAGCCAACCTTCTTCTGGGCCGGTAGGTCATCATCCAGCCGCCACTTGGCTCCTTCGGCCACCTTGGACAGGTGAGTCTGCGTTACCGTGAAGTATAAAGGTTAGACCGCCGCGCTGAGAAGAGTTAAAGCAACACAACGCACTAGAGTCTCCTCTTCACCCTGGCTCTTGGGCGCCATGAGCTTCGTGATGAACTCGCCGACCGGGTTGCTCGCCATTATTGTCCTGTGTCTAAGAGCTCTGCACCGCTCGTTGCCGAAATGACCTCTTTAACTGAATAGTATGCGTAATTGAAGGTTATGTGAGACTTACGAAATCTATTTGGTGTGCAGTACACAAATGCAAGTTGAAGCTCGTCGAGTGTAATAATAATAATAAGTGTGAGGTGTATTGTGTTACCCGCCCATACGTGTATGTGCCTGAACTCTAATACCCATTCCCAGCTTGCATGAAATGCCCGGTCAGGTTGTACCTACTCAGCCTGTACCTGCTGAAGCCTCCTTTCGCATTCTTATCGTATTGTTTATGCCTCTCCCTCCGTGTTCCGTCCTCTTTGCCATTTCTGAACGTCTCCCGTTGCCCAGTGCTCCACCTTTAGCCTCAGCTCGTGACCTTGCTCTTCTTCGCTAGCCCCATAAATCACACTCTTGCCTGTGCCCATAGCGTAGTTCGCTAGCCAGTCCGCTGCTTTATTGTACTTCCGATAGTGGTGCTTCCATACTGTCACCTGCCCTTGGTCTGCTAGCCTCCTGGCGATCCTGTACCAAGACTTCAGCCGCTTCGCTTTTGGCTCCTTGCGCCTCTGCATGAGCCCAAGGATCATTGCGCTGTCCCCCACCACCTGCATTCCTCTCCAATTGCGCGCCACGGCTTCCGCCAACAATCTATGCAGTCCCGTGAATTCCGCCACATTGTTCGTCATGCTTCTCTTGCTTAGACATGTAGCTGCGGCCCACGCCACTCTGGGGCGTTCGTCTCTTATCGTCCATTCAACGATCACACTCCCGCTTCCTCCTGGCCCTGGATTTCCTCGTGACCCTCCATCGAAGAAGCCCAGTCGGACTGTTTCGTCTTGTCCGCATCCCCCGCTGTTGCCCCTGTGTGCGCCTGCCCATTTGCTTCTGATCCTCTCCGTCACCATGAGCTTCGCGTACGATGTCGCTGTTAACGGGAAAAGACCGGCCTTATATCGCAGTATCGTGTCTTGCATGACTGTCGTCATGCGTCTTACTTCGCTCTCTACCGTCCGTCTTGCAGTCTGGTCTGAATAGACCTCTGACACCTTCCATCTCCACAATGCTGTGATAGTTGCCGCACATCCCATGGTCTAGAGTGTCGTTGCTACCTCGTGGATGGCGTCCCATCGATCTTCGTTTTCCTTGTTGCCCCAGTCGAGTAGCCATTGAGGAACTTTGCTCATGCTTAAAGAGAAGATATCTTGGGCCACCTGCTCGTTGGCTGCACCATCCGCCTTCGTCGCGGCCATCCCCCATACTTCCAACCATTTGTCCCATAGTGCCCTGGCGTCAGGACACTCCCACGTCGAGTGTAAAGTTGATCTGCGTTAAGTTCACGGGCTTGGACTCAGTGCTTTCACTCTTCTTGGCCTTCTTGAACTACTTCACAGTCACCACACCGCTAGCAATCTCCTTGGACTGCCGCTTGTCTTTCTTCGCGTCATTCTTAGATGTCTGATCAACCTTCATGGGTGTCGACTCGCTGGCTTCCACTTGCTGCATCGCTGACGTCGTCAGTAGGTGCTGCCTTCTGATACTCCTCTTTGGTTTTCGCTTTCTTCTTCTTATCCTCGTCACGTTTGCGTTTTCCCGTGATAGGCTTCTTCTGCTTATTGTCTGAGACCTTCGCTTTCTTCTCCTCCTTAGGTGAAGCAACGTAGCCATGCACACGCTTGTCCAGCACACGAGCGGCATCACGCACAACCAAGTTCGGGAACAGCCGCTTCATCTGGAAGTTGTATTGCTTGTGCTTGGCGTCGAGTTTCTTCGCCTCCTTAATCTGCTTCTTCTCGTCCTCAGAAATGTCGGTCTTCTTGCTTTTCGACTTGCGTTTCTACGTCTTATCGTCATCACTATCACTGTCGTCACTGCCCTCTTCATCGTTCTCACTGCCACTGCTTTCCTCCTCCTCACCAGACATCGGAGCGACCTCCAGCTTCTTTCCGCAGATGGGGTTGCCGATCAAATTCAATTGTCGTAAGATCTCAAGCGAGCTCAAAGCCTCCAGTCCAGACCAATCGTCAATCTAGTTGTGACTCAAATCCAACACTTTGAGATTCTCTGCAACCCATCGCCACAAAGTTAGATCTCTACGAAAAAAAATCATACTGAGCCAACGTTCAGTCTACTTTTTTTTAAAGTTTTCTTATCGATTTTATTGGGGCTCTCCCTACAGTCACCAAGTTTTTCGTTAACCCCCCAACGCCCAACGGTTGTACGTACAGCAGGAATCATGTTGTACGTACAACATGTTAAAAGTTGGGCTATTTTGTTGCAAAATATGGGCAAACTTGAGAATGCACAGGGCTGGGGTTGTTGAGATCAGTCTCTTTGGCAATAAACAATACAGATTTCTCCCCTGGGTTGGTGGCTGAGAGCTCATTTCGAGAAAAGACCTGAAGGAGAGACACGTGTGCACGATGGCCCCGCCTCGAGAAACACGCCGCGAACGCCAGCAGTTCCTGCAACGTCTGGATGGCCGAACTGCGCACGACCGAGAGCGCATCAGGAAGGAGCATGCGGCGTACCTGGCTGGCGAACGAGAGGAGGATGCTGACTTCGGAGAAGATCCAGCACCTACACGCAGCGCGACAGCTCGTCCTCTGCTTCCGGTTCCGATCGGCAAAGATGCCTGTTACGTGCGTGCGCAGCGACGTTTGATCTCGCAACAGCAACGTGCTGTCGCCGCAAAGACGTTGGCAGGCTCCGGCAAGAAACGGTTGGCTGCTAGTAGGGACTTGAGCGACGATGATGAGGACTATGATCCCGATCGGTTCGACGAGGAAGCGGATGCTGATGCAGAAGATGAGCGACTGGATGCAGCAGACTCCCCAGTCAAGACACGGCCGCCAAAGAAGAAGAAGAAGAAGACGGCCGCGGCGACCCCGACCAAGAAGACGACCCCGACCAAGAAGGCGACCCCGACCAAGAAGGCGACCCCGACCAATAAGCCACGAAAACCCACCGCGTCGCAAGTTGCTAAGGCAGCGGCAAAAGCAGCGAGGACAGCAGCTGCCGAATCGCGCTGTGAAGATTCGGCAAATGCCGAGGAACAAGGAAGCATCGCTTTGGCCGAGGCCAGGAAGAGATTAAAGGCGATTGGTGAAGCGAACAAGAAGAGGAGCCGCCAACCAAGTGAGACACCAGAGAGGTACACCATGTTTTATGCTGTCAGATACTACATGTTCTCACGAAGTGTTGTTGTACGCTGTGCAGGTACATACAACATTTGGGACATACAACATGGATACAGCGTCGCTATGCTTTCCCTACAACGTCGTTATCGACAACATGTAAACAACATGAACAGCAGCTAACATATATTGTCTATCGACAGGGGTTCCACCGATCCTCAAGATACGTCAGAAGCACCGTCGCCTCGAACGTTGTCTGCAGCGCCTGCGCCACCCCCGCCTCCTGAATGTCCAGCTCCTGAATGTCCAGCTCCTGAATGTCCAGTTGCAGCACCAGAAGACGATTGGTACGTGGCAAAGTCTTTGATGCTGATTATGTATACTAACGTTGTGCGTATCATAGTGAAAGCTCAGCATCCATTTCCCAGACTCCTGTCCCCGACGCGGCAACCTCTACCCCTGTTTCGCCGACTTCTGCTCCAGCCTCGCTGTGTTCCGCTCCAATTTCACCTGAAAGAACGTCGGTCTCAGCCTCTCCTATCGCTGCCCCCGCTTTCGCTGACGAGTTTGATGCGTTGAACTCTGATTGCGAGGAAACAGAGACCGAGATTACGTTTTACGATGATGATGACGAGTGGAGTCGAGCGAGAAGTGAAGGTGAGGGCTTTGCGTCGGGTGAAGACTACAGTGATGAGGACGATAGTGAGGCTGGATCAGATACTATGAGTGCTGATGGAGAAGCAGCTGGTTCGACACAGCAGTGGAGCGTCTTAGAGAAGCCGGAAATGGTTGATTTTGTGATGGACGATGCCAACATGGCTGCCATGCGAGCTAACGGGTGGAACTTAGGTTCGTGACAATGAGGGGTGTAGCCTCCAACATATTCTAACATGATATGTGATGTATATACAACATGTAGACCCAGACAATTTCCCGCCTGACCAACATTACCCAGGATTATATTCTGGGGAGTATGGACCAACCGACGAGGTACTGGCCCTGACACACTCACCGCTCAAGCTATTCTTCTTTTTCATGCCGAAGAGTTTGTGGAGACAAGTTGCAAAGGAAACCAATCGCTACTTTGTGCAGAACCTCACTTCACGAGTGGAGCGTATGTTCAGCTCGCAGAAGACACCTGCCAAGAAGTCCAAAGAGTGGTTTTTGCATCGCGAGGCCAAGAAGCGGGACGTCAAGCCGCACGAGATACTGCAAGCGCTTGGATTACTGATGGCAAGAATGCTGAACCCTCACCGCCGCAGGTTACGTGATCATTGGGGCACTAATGCAGTGGGAGCTATCCCACGGGGGACGTTCAACGATTTTTTGCCGCAAAACCGCTTTGAACACATCATGGGAAATCTTCACTTCACCAACAACGCAGACACGAGAGCAGCAACTGACCGCGCCTGGAAAGTCAGGTCTATCGTTGAAACGCTGCAAGAAACGTTTCCGTTGGGTTACAAAACGCCGCCGACCATATCATTTGATGAGGGCGTTCTACCTCTGAAGAACCGGAACAATCCTACGCGTCAATATCTCAAGGCGAAGCCTCACAAGTGGGGCACAAAGCTTTTTCTGACGTGTTGTGCAGATACTTCCTACTGTATGAGGTGAGATGACTGCGAGTCCTTGCGGACTCGCGGTTTTTTTTTTGACCAAGTCTATCATGTAGTATCTAATGTTGTATGCTTGTATGCTGTATCCTACAACAAGAAGACTTGAGGTGTATTGTGGCAAAGCGCAGCAGGTCCATGAAGTAGGCAACGTTCCAGACAGTCAGCGATCTGCAGATCCAAACACCGGGCCGTCAGCAGTTATCCGAAACTTGGAAGCTGTCCTGCCACCACCCGAAGATGACGTCTATCACATTGTAGTG